CCCCCCCCCGCAGATCCCTATATCCAGAACCGCTATAGCCTATCTACTATCCGATTATTCGTTAAGTCACTTCCTTGTAACTCATATTGCCTGATATTTACGGCATTAATCAAAGACTATATTTATTTGACTAAATCGTTTAATCGTTAAAAAGTTGAAGCTGTCTGAGAGATATTCATTTCTAATTATCTACAAGTGATCTATCCCTATCATCGAACCCAACCGCTCGGGTCTATAACAGTTGCTGATACGAAATTAGCTCAACAGGAGCTAGGAAGGGTTTAATGTACGAAGAACAGCACTTTGATTATGGAAAGACAGGAGCAGTTGTGCAATTATGCAGTCAGTAGGTAAGAAACGGACAGCAACGGCCAAAGTTCTTGAAATCCGTAAATTAATTGGTCCGTTTCCGTCCTTTGGATTAATGCTTACTCATATTCTTACCACGGGTAGCCAATCACAAGACGGGGTATATGCATTCGATAGTCGACAATACGACTTTTTGATATCTGTGTTTGATCGGGTCTCCATGAAAAATTATACGAAGTAATGGATATTTATATCGGGCATAAGGAGAACTGCAACGGCAAGTCTGTTACACAACCTGATTTTTGATTAAATATATCGTTTTTCGACAGACTATTAATCCAGAAAATAGTGGCTTAATGAACAAATTAATAAATGAATCAATTGGGAATTTGAAACCCAAGATAAGTTGACTTATCTCTCAGTCTATTCTGTGAGCAATATCTTCGAATGTACGGGTAACGACTGAGTTTTTGTAATTACATTTGCTGTAGTAGTGAAAAAAAATCAAAAACGAAATTTGCTCTTTTTTTCGGCTCAAAAACTAAAAAAAAATCTGAAGTAAGGTGAGGGATGGAGTGACACCCTTTCGAGAAGATATTAGTGCACCCCTTCACTTAAATAACCATGAAGAATGAGTAAACATCCAAAGTTATTTCAGACTTAGTAGTGTTCAGTAATTACGTACTCAGATATTTTTAACAAATTATTATCATTTCCGATAAATTGCAACATTTACAGGTTTTACGATCAACGAGTTCTAGGAATTTTCGCTCTGTGTAGTCCTTCCATAGGCTCTTTTTCCTGTGGTTTTATTTTTCATCGGTAATTTGTTCAGAAACTCTTCAATTATTTATTTATGAAATAAAATTGATTATCAGTAAATATGTGGATTGAAGAAAATTTTCTGAAAATATCGCTTATGGAAAAATACTGATTTTTTATATTAAGAAATAACACCAGCCAGTTGATAGTACCAAAACTGATAATTTTTTTTCATGTATTTTCCGGAAAGGTTATTATCACATAAGTACTTAAAACGAATGCAAGAATATAAATTTTTTCAACGATGTAAAATTTTTTCGATTCCATTATAGTTATTTTTCAGTTGATTATCATTTTATTCAGTTTTTATTTTTCATATGATCAAATCATGATCATATGTAGCAATCTTGAACAAATGAATCCAAAGACTTTTGAGCTTAAACATTGGGACCTTGGCTGGCGAGTTAATATAAAATAATTCCCACTCCACGCACGATAAATCCGGAGAATGTTTCACAGGGGGAGAATTTTTTAATTTGTTAAATTAAAGGAGGGCCTGAAAGAAAAAAAAGGGTTTGCCGAGGGAATGAGTTACTGAGAGGGAAATGGTGAGAACAAGTGTATTTACAATTGATAATACATGGCCGAAAGCTTAAACCGAATAATATTAACCAAAATAGTATGCGGCAAAATATTAGTGAACAGAATAGTCTTAACAAAATGGTGCTCCTGGGCCTTTTAAAAACTAATTACCTCGAGGGTAAGGGCTAAGGCCAGCTAACTTGCGGTAACACTACGTTGATTATAAAAAAAATGAAAGGGGGGATTCTAAGGAGAATGAAAGTGGAGAAGTGAGGGGGGAACGAGTAGCTACTGTCTTTCGACAATGCCCACGTTACCAATTTTTTGGGACAACGTGTCTGGTGATTATGATTTAATACGCTTACGTCAATTAATTAGAGGGTCACCGTTTGATGGAGGGCTGTTGATAAATGGGGGGGGGCGTTGGTGGTGAGAGGTAACAGGTAGGCACTCACGTTGGGGAAAGTACACAAAATGCTCCATGCGATATCTCCTGCTAGCCTCCTTAGCTGCATTTCTTCTTTTCTTTCTTGCGCCACTTTCTTCTTCCCTCCTGGATTCCATAGAACTTTGTCACAAAAATTGTCTTGAACGATATCCTCAACTACCACCAGAATTACTCCTCACAAAACTCTCCAAATAAACTTCTGTTCTAACACACACATGAACGCTCGGGCCAGCTGCAAATCGAGTAAGGGCGTGTCACTCGATCACCTGACGTTCATCATCGAGTGTCCTTTTCCCTTTGATACATTGTCTGGGGCTCGCTGAGTGCCGTTTCCTTTTTCCGGATCACGTGGTGTTGCTACGTCATGGGGGGGGGGGGTCTCAGGCCTTCGTCGACATGATTTCTCTCCGTTGTCTAGTGTGGCAGCGAAGGGTAGCGGGAGGGTGAGGGGCGTTTTCCTCTTCTTGTTCGCGGTCGTCGTCGTGGCGTGAGTACCACGGTCATGGCTGCCG